TGTAGCTCCCTGCCAGGCTGGACGACTTCAGCAGCAGCTCTGCCTCCACCACGCTCAGCTCATTCAGCAGCTGCCAACACAGACACAAAAACAAGGAAAATAACTCCCGAGCTAAACATGTAAAATAGGTGCAAAAAGAAAAGGAAAAATGCTAAAGGAAAAGTGCAAAAATTAAGGAAAAACTACATGGCAAACAAAAATTAAGGAAAAACTCTATGGCAAACAAAAATGAAATTCCTTACTCATTGCAGAACAAGGGGAAAAGGGAGCAAAACAAACTGTTAAAGTCTAAAAATTGTTCCTCAGAAGTGCTCGTCAGAAATCGATGGCACTGCTGGCACCCAGACTCTTTAACACCACGGTTCCGCCTGAAACAGCGAAGCCCATCCTAAAATACTCTGTGCTAAGATAATCCAGAATTTTATTAATTTTGAAAGATTTAAAATAATCTGTTGATTCTCCATAACTGACAGAGGAAGAAGGGGAAGCATCTGGCGCTCTGAGAGGTCAGGAACTGAAACAGACACAAGCGCACGGCAGCAAACACGGAGGATCTGCAGTCCAGTGCTTGTTTTTCTGCTGGTTTTACAGAAAACGTGTCACAGCTTTATCCTGACACAACCCCCCAGGATGACCCCTGCTCACCTGTATGGCAAAGTCTATCAGCCCGTTGATGTTCAGGGCTGGCTCCATGAGATCAAAGATGAGCTGTATGTGGTGAGCCAAGGGAAGATGATATGAGGTTCCTGAGGCAAAGCTGGTTATCTGCTCGAGAACGTTACTGGAGATCTGTGAAAATAAACGTTGAGAAGTCACGTGGTGACTGAGGGCTTCTCGGATACATTAGTGCTCCAAAAATCCCATTTTATGAGCGGTAACAGCAGGTGACAGCATTTTGCAGATCTGACAAATCATGCACATCTATTACCCCCCTCTCCTGCAAGCCAGTCCTAATGCCATTTGATTTTCAAACAACCCAGAAAATGCTGTTCTGCTGCTTTCCAGCTGAGAGTCAAACTGTTCTTAACATCTACAATACTGATTTTTATTCTGGGGGGATTTTGCTCTAAAGAAGAGGTGAAGTAATTTTTCTTTTCTTTTACTGCCTCGTGATGTTTTTATTGATGGTTTTCAGATACTTAATAACAAGTTATTCTGCAAAAAAAAAAAAGCAATAAATTCATTCAAAAGCCCAGATCCAAAGATGTCTTATAAATTAAGTACCAAACAGGTACCTATTTTACTTTGTTTCTCATGTTATCCTCCGGGTATTAAAACAGACTGTGAGGAAACAGACTGACCAAGTGAGGAAATCCTACGCTGATACATTTGCACACTTACAAGCCCCGATACAAACCAGGAAAACCAGGCTTGGCATTTAAAACCAGTTATTTATGTTCTCCAGCCAGCCACTCACACAGCTTTTTAACAGGAAGGGTCGACTGTAAAGTCTGATACCCAGGAAAGATCACCCTGTGTTATCCAGCAGCTCCCCAAAGAGACATCCTCGCCCTGTGGCACAAAAGCACAGGAGGGTTCACTGCCCTCCGCAGGCACGGACACACTGACGTGTTTTATTCCCGTGCAAGAAGTTGGTTAATAAGCATCTGATTTACTAACAAGCCCCAAACAATTAATGGAAATTTATGTAAAACTTATTTCAATTTTTTCATTAAAAAATCACGGCATCTAAAATAATCCAAAAAGCTTCTTGCAACACAAACAAACAAACAAACCAAACCCCCAAACACACGAAGCAAACCCCCACTGACGCAGGGATTTCAGAACACCGAGGCAGCACCTCTCTCCTGCCTTAGAAGCAGCAGTGCGCTGGCACTTCTTGCTGTATACACAACACTCCTGCCGAGCTGGATTTGCTCCTGTGCGGGGTCTCTACAGCAGAACGCAAAAGGCCACGGCCCTACAGAAGGGATGTACCTGAGATGTCACCTGATGTTGGTCGAAATAGGACAGCTGCTGAAGTTTTGTGAACACGGTCTCGAGGGTTGGAAATGCTTCTTGTTTGCTCTTCCTGGCTTTCTGCCCTTCATCCCCAACTTAACAGACAAAAAATTACTTCGATTATTTTATATTTAATGGAGCCCTGGTAGTTTTGCATTATTACAGATGTAAAAGACAATAAAACTCTTAATAAGCTTTACCCAGGACTACATAAAGCCCTGCTCGCCTCGGTTTCCCATTGTACTTGGGACAAACACACGCCACAGCCTGTCCCAGCATCAGAGCTCCTTCAAGGTTATTCCAATGCAAAAAGGTGACACCCAAGAAAAACTGAAAATCCGTCACGCGGCTTTAGTGGGAGGGTAAGGAACAGGGATCACTGGCTGGCCAGTATCTGACGAGGCAGCTGCAGCCTCACGCAAGCGTTCCCCGCCCAGCTGCCAGCACGGGGTTGGGGGTCTCTGATCCCGGGGCTGTTCCCCACCCTGCTGCAGCCCAGGGCAGCCTGCAGATGGCACGTGGTGCTGTGGGACCACTCAGCACCGCACCCGCGACTGCGCAGGGGTGAGAGCCGAATTACGGGGTCAGCACGACGGCTCCAGACAACGTGCCGAGCACCTCCCAGCTCCCACGACCTTCGCTGCAGGCGACCCGACAGCAGCGTTAAGGCACTTACCAGCCATCTCTGTAGTGCTCTTCTTGTTCAGAATTTTGAGGATGTCTTTGGTAATCTTCTTCAGCTGATGCCTCGCTTCGTCCCGCTCCTTACCCACGCCGTAGAGGAGAATCATGCGCTGGTTGCACTCGTGACTTGAAGATTCGTCCTGAAAAGACCAGACACGAGTGAAATCTCTTTTCTTTTTTCCATCATCCCCTGCAGGAACCTGCCCCCCGAGCAGCCCAGGCTGCAACGAACAGTAACGAACCCTCCTGGGGTTATCGGTGTGGAGGAAACAGTGCCCAGCGAGATCACTGCAGAGCAGGGGAAAAACGGAATCTGATGTGATGGATTCTGTATGTATCCGTAAGGACAGATGCAGCACACGGCCACCCTCCTGGATTGCTGTTCAGCAGCAGATCAGTGCAGAGAAGACAGATGTCTAGGAACTGTGTGATGCTTCTTTTATTATGTACAAGTCCACTGAAAAAAATGCAGCCTGGCTCCTAAAATTCTATTTTGCCCATCCCACAGAAATGGAAATATGTGTAGTTTATTTAAACTGTAACTGGTTCTATTCAGTCTCTTAATAAAGTGTATCCTGTAACGCTGATGCACGTGGGGCACTGCTCTGCAAGTCCAACAAGGTATAAATATTGTGATCAGTAATACGCTTACCTTCCCAAGCTCAGCAATCACTGGTTCTTTCAACTACTTTAAAAGTTTTTAAAGAATAAGACCGTGTCCCCAAACAATACTGAAGAACCACAAGGCAGGAGGGTAGCGGATGGGAGCGCAGCTCTATGCTCGGAGAAGTTGCAGACTCTTACAAAACACACGCCGCCTTTTAAAAATAGCAACTCTGTTAGCGGGTCAAAAGGAGGAAGTAAACTTCTAATTATTTTTAAAAATTCTGTTTCTCTCTCTGTTCTCAGGGAAGCAAAAGCAGAAGCGCTGAGTGCATCACCTGGGATGTGCAGCGGTCTCTAGGAAGCCGGCCCGCAGCCGGAGGAAGCTCTGGTCCCCGCCGGGATGCGCAGCTGCCCCGCCAGCCTCCCCGTACCCCGTGCGATCGGCATGTGAGCGCTCCTGCCCGCCCGCACCGGGAACCACCCTCCGTCGGCAGCGCCAGCTTCCCCTCGCAGGAAATACCCGTGTGTCTCACCGCTCCTCGACACCCCACGGTGAGCTGCTGGGGGCTGGGGGGAAAGGGTCTGAGCAACTCCTGTCACAGAAAATCAGTTTTAGGAACTCTAATGAGACACGATGAGAGGAGACCTCATCACCCCCTACACCTGCCTGAAAGGAGGGGGCAGTGAGGGGGGTGCTGGACTCTGCTCTAAAGGAACAAGTGATAGGACAAGAGGAAACGGCCTCAAGTTGCACCAGGGGAGGTTTAGGCTGGAGATTAGAAAAAAATTTCTTCACCAAAAGAGTGATGAGGCATTGGAACAGGCTGCCCAGGGCAGTGGTGGAGTCACCATCCCTGGAGGGGGTCAAGAAACGTGTAGATGTGGTGCTGAGGGACATGGGTTAGTGGGTTGGGTGGGGTTGGGTTGAGGGTTGGACTTGATGATCCTTGAGGTCTTTTCCAACCTTTATGATTCAATGATTCTGATTCTGCATGAATCTGAGGAAACTCTTATTTCATTAGGATTAGACGTGGCAGCTGAATCTATTATGTGCTTCAAAGCAGAAGCCAGTTTATTGCTGCCTTACAGACAGAAATAAAACTTTGCAGCTCCGTAAGGAAGGTGTCGGGGATGTGGGGCAGGGGCTGACCAAGCACCAGATCCCCCAAGCGCCTGACTCTACACAGGCAGAGATCACACAGAAATAGTGATTTCTACAACTGCGTCCCTCCACACCCGAAAGTTACTCCTTTCAAAACCCAGCCCTGGCTGATCCAACATCCCCACCCGGTTTTCTGGGGCAGGCGGCTCGGATCAGACCTGCCCTGGTGCAGGGTTTGGAGGAAGAGCCGCAGTTCTCAGCCCAGTCTGGTACCGGTTACGCGGAGCCCAGCCACCCTGTGTTTGCGGGTGATGGGGGGCCAACGCAGTAAAAAGGCTGAACTCTTATGACAAATATAACTCACAACTTCTTTTTTTTTTTCTTGCTTTTACAGAGTGGGGGGAAAGATAAAGTGCAAATGAAAGCCACAACCAACTTCAGCTACTCCAGAAACGACAGCAACTGCACCAGCGATAACAGGATCAGCCAAGTTATTTTTCCTGTGCTTTATACAATCCTGTTCCTGGTGGGTATCACCATGAATGGCCTGGCAATGTGGGTCTTTTTTAAAATATCCAGTAAATCCAATTTCATAATCTTCCTCAAAAACACCGTCATTTCTGACTTCCTCATGATCTTGACTTTTCCATTTAAAATCCTCAGCGATGCAAAGTTGGCACCATGGGTACTGAGAGGATTCGTGTGCCAGGTCACCCAGGTCGTGTTTTACTTCACCATGTACATCAGCATCCTGTTTCTTGGCCTAATAACTATCGATCGCTATCAGAAAGCCACTTCGCCGTTCAGAACACCAACGTCAAGGAGCCTTTTCGGTGCCAAGATCGTGTCCACAGCAATCTGGGTATCAATGTTTGCTCTTTCATTACCCAATATGATTCTAACAAACAAGAAGCAAACGCCCAAGAACGTCAAGAAGTGTGCTCTCCTGAAATCCGAGTTTGGCTTAGTCTGGCACGAAATCGTAAACTACATTTGCCAACTTATTTTCTGGGTTAACTTAGCCATCATAGTTGTATGCTACATACTCATAAGTAAAGAACTGTACAAATCCTATAAAAGGACAAGACGCACAGGAAAAGCATCCAAAAAGACTGTAAACCTGAAGGTTTTCATCATTATCGCAGTGTTCTTTATTTGTTTCGTGCCGTTCCACTTTACCAGAATCCCCTACACACTGAGCCAAACGAGAGACGTTTTCCAGTGCTCTGCTCAGAACACCCTGTTCTACCTGAAGGAGAGCACGCTGTGGCTGACGTCGCTGAACGCCTGCCTGGATCCATTCATATACTTTTTCCTTTGCAAATCATTTAGGAAGTCCTTGCTCGACACGCTGCGCAGGCACACAGCGTCGTCAGCACTCGGAGCACGGATGAAGGAGCAGAACGAAGGAGACGACACAGATGAGACGCCGCTCTAGAGCCAGGAACGACCCACATCCCTTCTCAGACACGTACCCTTACTGCTGGGGGAAACGGCACAAATCCTGCAAAGAGTATCCAGAATTTCACCGACTTCTTCAGAAATTGTCCTAGAGATGAAGCACAACACCCTGGAACCAACATCACGAGTTGCAAAAATGGTGAAACTCAAAAGCTTGAACAAAACAAGAGCACCACCTGATCCCAGCCCCCGTGCGGGTCAGCACAGCGAGGAAGAAGTTTACAAGTTTGCTGGTAAGAAGAACTTACAGCTGGAGCTGTAAGGAAAAAATTAAGAGAGTCATGAAATGCTCCAGATGAGACTATGAACTGCACAGATTCTGCAGAAATAGCTTAACTTGGGCAAGGGTGAAGTCCATGACAACACAAGATCTGGGAGATGCCATCGAAACCCCCAGCAAGGGTGATCTTCAAATCCAGGGAGTTGTCACCTTGTACGCAACTGGCAGACAAAGCGAAATACAGGACACATGGCAACAGGCTATTTATCTGTGCAGATTGTTGGTAACAGAATAACGTTTTGCTTGTCTCATTATATGCTTGCAATCTGTAATCCATTGACCACTAATTAATAGTTGTATGTCAGAGGAAATTATTTCATAATCAGGCTTATCTTGGTGTGAATTAAATCTTCAAATACTTCACCTTACTATATGAAGAATAAACAAAAATGTACACTTTTATGGAGAACACTACATTATATTAGAAAATGTACAAAGACTCAATCTACAGAATATTTAGATCTTAGCGAAAGAAAGACTCAATGGTAAAATCCTCACTGATTATTAAGGGCAGCTTCTTTTGCACTGTATAAAAAATTTAACCACTTCCCCTTTTTCATTTGTAAAAGTTGAAAAAAACCCAGGAAAGTGTTTTCAGGTACATACCGTTTCCCGGTATGGTAACACCCACACATGGAAAAGATGCCAGGCTATCGCAATTAATGACGGTTCATTTCTCGTCACTACAGACCAGCTCCGATGCAGGAATATGTTTCACCAGTGGGGAAGACGCTGCCCTGGACACTGTCCCGGGGTGTTGCAATGGACTGCCCAGCTTTACAGAGTCCTGGATGAATGGACAGGCGTTGGGTCAGGCAGCTGGGGACGTGTCATGCTGATGACGATGGCCAGGGTGACCTTCATCCCGGTCATCCTCAAGGCTCTGTGCTCCCTGCCAGCCATCCAGCACCGACACCAGCACGCCTGCCTGCGTTAACCAGAACTAGATACTAATGCACAAACCTCTTGTGGATACAGCTGCAGCACCAGAGACTCGCAAAGCAACCCGTGCCTGCCCACAAGGGGAACGCTGGAGCACCGGCCACCTCCCAGCCGGCAGCCAGCACGGAGCCAGAGCCCTCAGCCACGTCAGCTCATGGGAACATACAAGGCAAACCCCGTAACTCCACTAAACTTACATAAAAGTTCTGTTTTCACAAAGAAAAGCCCTAGATCCCAACACCACACACACCGAACAACAAGCACAAAGCACACCATGCGGCGGCTGCAGGCAGCGGCTGAACCCAGCGCACCGCAGCACCCACCTGCGCTGACGGCAGCACAAACACCAAATCCCATCCTGGAGATGAGAGCTCAAGCTGGGGCTCGCGTGCCGCTACTAACAGAGGGAGGGTGCAGGTCTGGGTGCGTTGGTGCGCAGGATCCTGCGTCCAGGGAACCACGGGAAGGGTGGCTCTGAGCAGACCTTCTGGTCACACTTTTGGTGCCGACTGGTGCCAGGCAGAACCGGGGAATTCACAGACAAACGAGAGCTCAGAGCTGCATCCCAGGATTATTCTGGAAAACCATCAGGAATCACTCTGTGCCTGCTCACCCAGTATCTCTGGGCATCGTGATGGCATGGTGTAGGTGCCACACAGACAAAAGCCAGAGAATGTGCCCATCTTGACGGATATGGTCATTTTTCCTTTCTTACTGCAGGAGAAGGTGGTGTGCTTTCTAACAGAGAGCAAAGCAGCAGCAAACGTGATTAGCTAACTCAGCAGCACACGAAATGAGGAAGGAAATAGCACCCCACACCAACAGAAAAAGTCTCCTCTTTCTACACATTTCCCCATTCCTGACCCTTTGCTGGAGACTGCTGCCAGCAGAGGCACCGCGGATGCACCGGGGGCAGCCCGAGACCCCTCTGTGACGCGCTGGCGGCAGGTTTGCCCAGGTACTCGCAGGGTGGGAGGGTGGCGATGGGGCACCGGCCTCGGCGGCACGGGGCTGACAGCCCCCCATCTGCACCTCACCCTGAAAACGCTACTGAGAGCTGTGCTAAGGAAGGAAAAGTGGTGTCTGCGTGGTAAGGAACACCAGAGGTTCCTTGCGTTTGGGCCACAACAGTAAAATTTCTGTTCCATGTTAAAATACATTTCCATGGAAATACAAGCAACCTGCTCTTACAGCTCGCTGGTGTATTATCTTGGGCCTCCATAACAAATACACACCACTTTAACTTCTAATTAGACTCAGACAAAGGCTGGGGCTTTCTGTGAACCAGAAGATAAATGGGTCTGTCTGTTTAATGCACGTTCAGGTTTTGTGTTTGTTAGTGTAAACCTGCCAGGCACTGTCAGGAACAGCTGACTTTAAACACAGAATGCTGTGTTTCATGCTTCCTCTCTCCTTTTCACCCAAGTCTCTTTTGAACAATGGGAGGCTTTGCGAACGAGAGCGCTGTCAGCAACGCCAGCGGAGCCCCGTCCTCTGCACCCTGCCACCGGGACACCGCTGTCACCCACCTGCTCTTCCCCGTCCTGTACACCCTCGTCTTCCTCCTGGGGCTCGTGCTGAACAGCCTGGCCTGCTGGGCTTTCTTCCATATCCCCAGCACGTCAACTTTCATTGTCTACCTGAAAAATATCCTAGTTTCCGATTTTATAATGACCCTGATGCTTCCTCTGAAAATCCTGACGGACTCTGGCCTGGGACCATGGCAGCTCAAAGCCTTCGTCTGCCGCTTCTCAGCCGTGGTGTTGTACGACACCATGTACATTAGCATAGTGCTGCTTGGCCTCATTGCTTTTGACAGATTCCTCAAGATCGTCAGACCTTTTGGGAAGTTCTGGGTGCAAAACCTGACCTCAGCAAAGGTCCTCGCGGGTCTGGTCTGGCTCTTCTTCCTCCTCCTCTCCCTGCCCAACATGATCTTGTCCAACAAGAAGGCGACACCCCAATCTGTGCGGAAGTGCGCCTCTTTGAAGAGCTACCTGGGACTCAAATGGCACGAGGCCGTCAACTACATCTGTCAGTTCGTCTTCTGGACTGTCCTCATCCTCATGCTTCTCTTTTACACCATTATTGCCAAGAAGGTATACGAGTCGTACGTAAAAACACAGAAGAAAGACAGCAAGAGCGAAAAAAGGATCAAGGGGAAAGTATTCATCATTTTTACCGTCTTTTTCTTATGCTTTGCACCCTTTCATTTCAGAAGGGTTACCTACACGCTGAGCCAAACCACCCCCCGCATGGGCTGCCGCCTGCAGAACCAGCTCTTTGTCGCCAAGGAGAGCACCCTGTGGCTGGCGACCACCAACGTCTGCATGGACCCCCTGATATACCTGTTCCTGTGCAAACCCTTTGTGGAGAAGGTGTTATGCAGGAGAGTAAAGACATTCCAGAAAGCGGTTCATACAAACCCAAAAACCGAACTGGACACACGGATGTCTCCTACTGAATCTTGATTCCGCAGCCTCACGCTCTACAGCCTCTGCATATTCATAGAGAAACTAAAAATAATTTGGTTTACTTCTGCTGTAGAAAACGAAGGGGTGGGTGTACTGTAATACTAACGCTTAATAAAAACAGCACCGTGGATTTCCCTATTTACGCTTGCTGCTTAGCCTGCACAGGCACAAAGCTGTCACTCACCCTGCCAGCCCGGAGCTAACACCGACGTTCCCCCGCGCTGTGCTCTGGCACTGACACCCCCGTCCCTCATCGCAGCTGTGGCTTGGCTGCCACGGCCCCCCCACACAGCTCTCTGTGCGGGTGGGCCTGGGCGGCCGGGCCCCAGCCACAGAGCTCTGTGTGACCTTGGGGCCACTCATGCAACTTCACAGCCCATAACCACATCGGGCTAGGGAGAAAACCAGCATCGACGATGCACAGAGCTGGCAGGGGTGGGTGTGCCGTCCTGTGCTGCCGCGCTGGCTCTGCAAAGCTACGGAGAACAGAGGGTCTCCTCATGGGCTCACGACATCACCTTCCCCTCGCAGAACACAGACAACCCACAGCCTATGAATCCAAATACCTTCGTGTATCTTCAGACAATCTACAGAATAATTCTGTCCACTCTAAACAGAACAGCCTCCCTGTTAAAACTTGAGCAGCTTACCGACTCTGGCTGCTTCAAGGACAATTTCGCTCCATTGGGACTAAACCCAGAGCATTGGCTGTGTGTCAGTAACTCTCACACTGGCTGTCAGCTCAGCTGGCACGTCGCAGGGCAGGGAAGAGGAAGATCCGTACATGACAGAGGGAAGGACACGGTCCCTCCCCATCCCTCCCCACCTCCCACACACCTACCTACCTTCCTGCCGCCTACACCGTGTCACCATCCTTCCTCTCCCCTCCCAGCGGGGACAGCAGTGGGGGACGCAGTCAGTGATACCCCGAGTCCCCCCAGGGCACACCTCTCACCCGGGCCAGCCGGAGACCCGGGACCACTCCCCTGCGATGGGCAGCCCACCCTGCCCCACCACCCACCCAAGGGGACCACTCGGACACGTCCCCCTTGGTGGCACATTCACCTTCCCAGTGCCAACGGCGGGGAAAGGGGAGGGGGCAGACACGGCCGGCAGGAGG